CGCGCCCCGCCCCTTCCGGCGCCGGTCCCTAGCAACCGCGACGCGCCGGGGGCGGGGCTTCCGGAGCGGAGGCAGCGGCGGGGGGGGGGCGGGGAGCTCGGTTGCCAGGGAGACGCGCGGCGGCCCCGCCCCGCGAGCGTCACGGGGGGGGGTCTGCGCAGCCCGGCGGGGCCGGCGGCCATTTTGTCCGCCTGACGGGGAGGACTGGGGCGGCGGGCGGGGCTCGGGACCGGCCGCCGCGGCGGCCTACACTCTCGGTAGCCGTGCTGCGAGGGAGGAGTGGTGCGAAAGGTGCCTGGCGAGGCCGGGGCCCGGCGCAGGCCCCGAAGGGAAGGGTGGTATTCCCTTCGGGCCCCGCGCCAGGCCGTGGCCTTTCCCGCCCTTTTCCGTCCCCTTTCACACGCTGCGAGCCTGACAGGAGGGCCCTGAGATCTGCCCGTCCCTCTCGCCACAATCCGCTGTGCCCGGGGCCGTTTTGGTCTTAAGCCGCTGTGACCTGGGCCTGCCCCATTGTCGGAAAAAAAGTCCCTGGCAAACATCGTGAGTAAATGGAGGTTTGTGGAAGGTCATAGCGTGGCAAAACACGCCTAGATGTTTCCAGAATACCTAAAAAATCCCAGGGCGCTCACACCAAAGCTCAGGTTCCTGTTGGAGCACACCAGGTGTAAGAGGTCCATCACCATATGGCTGTAGGAATATCTTTTTTTGTATTGATACTGTTCTGAGGAAGTGTACGAATTTTCCTCCGAATTACCAACAACTGTACTTTGCAGTGAAAACTGGGTGAGAGAAGCAGTACCGTTACGGTATTAGTGTCTGTGTAGAGAAGCCTGATTTACACATACAAAATTCCTCCCGGTACGAGAGATTATGTTAAGGCACCTGACATATATTAAGGTTACTGACATTTTGTTATAGGCTCGATAGAAAACAATAAGGTGTTACATAACGAACTCCAGAGATTCGAAGAGTCTCTGAGGAAAAAATAAAGGTGAAATAAATTACTCATTCTGTAAGACAAATTACTTATTAAAAAATGGATCTGTCGAGACAGTAGCTGAAATAAGCAGTTTGCAGTGTGTTGGTGCACAGCAAATAACTCTGATACGAACCTGTATTCCCCAAGAACCTTAATTCCCCAAATAATCTGAATATAATAAATAAGCTCTATGATGTACCATATCATCCTGTGGTAATCAGCTTAGTTTCATGGATGCAACTACAAAGAAACAGGTAAATTTAATAATCAATATAACTGGAGCTATTAAATATTCTCTAGTTTTATGACAGCAGCCACAAAATGCAGCGCATCCTCCTTCGGTCACGTGGAGTGGAAATTTCCTGGCACCACAACACCTCTTGGCAGCAGAAGAGAGCATGGAGGAGCCTTCACAGCCTTCTTTCAACCAAGAAGGTATGTCTACTGTGACAGCTGGCAGCAAGTAAAGTGAACCTGAATCTTCTCCTTGCTATCAATCCTTTTTTCATCCCTGCATCCATCATACCTCAGGGCAAAGCTGAAAAAGTACCACTTTTTAAATGTATTATTAAATAATTCATTAAGGACAGAAACAGTTGTTTGGGTTTTTTTTACGTTAAGAGTCTTTTAGCTTAATTCAGCAGTCCTTAATCAAAGTTATAGTTCCATGGTATAAAAAGCTGTTGTTTTGCTGTCTCCCTGAAAATTACATCAACAGTATTGCATCACAGCTAATACTAGATGCTCTAGTTTTTGATATTAATGCGTCTCCACTGTGTAACATTATCGTCCCAACAAGGGAAGCCGGGGAGAATCTGAGAGCAGCTCACTAATGCTTACAATTTACTGTATTGGGAAATGCCGTAGCAGCATTGGTGTGCTATCTTTGTGACAGAAATCACTCCTACGATAACATTCGTGTACTTTATTTTAAGCTTGAGTCAGCTCACTGAATTAAGCAAGATTACCTGTATGTGCAAAATTAAGCCTGGTTTCGGCAGGGGAACTATTATTGATTTGAAGCAAAGTAAATACGAAAATTGAAATATCAGAACTGGTGAGTAGGACAAAGTCTTGGCAAGAAGTGATACTACTGAGGCTAATTTCCCTTTTACTATATTGTACTTTTGAGGCAATTTTCATTTAGCCTATTGCGTGTGTAAATGTAAACACCATCCTCGCAACACAGTCCTTGGCATGAGTTGGAAGATAAGCATTGCCATGTTCATTTTACAGATGAGTAAATCTCATGTACAGAGCTTAGAAGATGAGAGAAAAACATCCATGTTACAAGGAGGGTTATTACACATCGCACAAAAAGAAGTGGTTTGCCTAAGCATGTACACACACACACACACGAGCACTTTTCTACATTTAAAAACTTAGCCGCGCAAGTCTACAGACATCCCAGCTTCAGGCGGGGTGCTGTATCTGCGCCACTGTTCTGCTTCTCCTAGTGTTTACCTTTGCTCCCGCAGAGGTGAAATCATACTATAAATAGAGGGCAAAGTCCGCTCTCAAGCATTACCCGGTAAAGTCTCCTGTCTGACATGACAATAAAGTGTGGAGCAATAGAGGGGTTTAGTTCTTTAAAGCTCTTCGGTGGTAAACTGTGCTCTCTAGTGATGGGTGATCCTGACCGAATCTGTCACCACAGTGTTATCAACAGCACAAAAGAAAAACACTGGAAGTCCCATGACCTCGCTAAACCTTTTGGGCAAGAGGTCAGTAGGGTTTCAGTGGATGTCCCTCTCTTTAACCCCTCAGTAACTCTGCCCCGGCCGTGCTGCTGGGGCTTCTGCTTTCTGCCCCACACCTTTCTTCCTCAGGTACCCTTGGGACAGTTGGGAATGTGTCTCTCAGTTGCTTCCGCTAAGCTGAAAAAAATCAGAGGGCAGCCTGCGCCTCCCCATCCAGAAGCGAACAATACCCCAACATTTCCAGCGTTTTAAAGACCTTCTTTAAGTTACGAAGTACGTATTGAAGCCCGAAGGGATTCTCGCGCGGCACCGGCCTCTGCCACCAAAACCAAAACCACGCTGAAGCCCACAGCCAGCGTGGGCACCCCGGGTGCTGAAGAAAACGCGTGGCCCCCGCTTTCGGACAAGGGAAGCCCTTTGGAAAAAGGGTCCTCCGGCAGACGGGGCCCGCGGGGCCCGGCCGTGCCGCTCGGCAAACCCCACCGGTGGGAGCGCCAGCCTCGCGTGCCCCG